TGCATGTCCACATAATATGGTGCACATGCAGCTCCCTGATGGGGCAAGCAAATAATGCCCACCAGGGTATTTAAGGTCAGTTAAGTAGCACTTCTGTGCTACAGTCCCTATTTGAATCTGGCCTTTGGTCCTGCAGAAGCGAGTTTCCACACGGAACTTGCTGCTGCTGTCTGAATGCAAGTCCTTGTGGTAGCCATGAGTTAACAGCCAGTTTGGTTCTAAGAAGAGCCCAGCTGGATTGGACCAAGTGTCTACCTAGTCCAGGATTCTGTTTCCAACAGTAGCTGGCCATGTGCTTTTGGCAAGCAGGACATGGTGGCAACAGGTTGTTGGTTGTCTCCAGCATCTGTTTTTCTGCTTCTAAACATTCAATTTAGTTATCATGGATAATAGCTGCTGACTGGGCCTGTCGTCTGCAAATTTGTCTGAATTTTTAAAAGTAATCTACCTCTCCAGCAGCATCTCCAGTGGCTGCAGCACGATACATGATTAGTTGGAGCTCATGTCCTGTGCCATCTTCCAGCATTGCCAACATGTTCAAGTGTCAGCTTTCTCTTTCCCTCTCTTTCAAGCAAAAGAACTGCCTTCTCCCATTTCTTGGCCCAGGTGTTGATGGCATACCAGAAGAGACCCAATGTTCTTTATTTTCATGTTTCTCGTGAGACAGTCATTTCCTGTCACCCCCTTACCCCCGATCAGTATTCTTGCACAAAAGCTAGCTTTGGGAAACATTGGATGAACAGAAATCAGTGTTTTAAAAAAATTAAAACATGAACAAGAGCATTAATTTTGTTTTAAGGGTGTAGAAGGGGAGGAAATAGATTCATAATTGCCAGAAAGGCCAGCCGATCAGTATTCTGTGCCGAAGGGCAGTGCTTCAGGTTTGCAGCCAGGGCTAGTCAGCAGCACTGCACAGCTGCGGTCACAGTCTCAGCCCCCAGGCATATTCATTCAGCTAAGCAAACAAGCAGAATAATAAATCATATGCCAAGAAAATAGTATGGATGTTTGTGTGAATGGTCATCTTATACGTTCTGCTTATTAGAAAGGCCAGAAGTGACGCATAGGGGGTCCTGAAATGCAAGGAGGAGACAGCGTGATTATGAAGGAGGAACATCTGTAGGTGACAAAAGGGACAGTTACTGTTTTAAAATAGAAGAGGCAGGTTTCTGGCTCATCGTCTCTGCAAGGCTGTGGTTTTTACTACCTCTGCTGTACAGGATAATGGATCTGAAAAACAGGAAGCAGACAGCCTAGCTTGTTGTTCCTTTCCATACCAGTAAGTTGCTGACAAACAAGCGGTCTTGGTCTCTGTTTTTGCTGAATCTCAGGCTTTTGCAAGATAACTTGATGGACACTGGGGTTTCTGGACAAATACAAAAGGTCAGCTACTGTAAAAGGGAAGTGGAGCTGGAAATGCCTGCAAAGACTATGCCTGTGAAGACTGGGAATTATATATATATATTTTGCCATCAAATCACAGCTGACTTACAGCAATCCCTGGTGGGATTTTCAAGGCAAGAGACGTGCAGAGGTGGTATGCCATTGCCTTCCTCTGCGGAGCAACCCTGTTATTCCATGGAGTCTCCCATCCAAATATTGACCAAAGCCAACCCTGCTTAGCTTCTGAGATTTAAGATAGGTGTAAAAAAGGGGAACTTCCGGGATACGGCGCTGCAGACGGTCGCGTCTCAGATCGCTCCCGAGATGCCCGTCCCCGCTTCGATCTTTTGGAGCCCCCTGACTATCAGGTGGGCTCCACTCTGCTTCCTGGAGGGAGGTGGAGTGGCAAGGAGCTTCTTTGGCCACCCCTGCTGATGGCAATCGGAGGGGTGTTGCCGTCTTGCCCCGATGCAAAAACGAAGACGCGGGAAAAAACATGGCTGCCATGTTTTTTCTTTACAGCGACCACCCGTTTTTATTTTAATTAATTTAACAAGATTCAGCAGCACATTGCAACGAAAATAAAAGACTGCATATGATCAAGTTAAAATCGAGTTGATATGGACTTTAAAAACCCCAAGGGACATCTCCTACTATAAGAAAGTCGCTTTGAAAAGTTTTGGAGGTTTGTGTTAAAATGGAAGGGTAAGAAAAATTTGTTTTTGTCCTTTTTGAACTGCTACTGTTGGATGGAAGTCTTAATTCGGAGACTAGATGACTGGCAATAAAGAATAATGTATGTAAAATGAATGTTAAGAACTGAAAGTCTTTCTGTGTCAGCATTGTAAAATGGAGTCTGAGGGTGATAATGAAGAGCTAGACCAGGATCCACATCACACTCATCACTTAAGTGACGTGTGAGTATTGTCATACATGAGGCATCTGTGAAGCTGCACTTGCAGGGGAAGCTAGGAAGTGGTGGGCAGGTTATCTTTCAAGAAAGCTTGTCCACCAGTGCTAACCTTCTCACTCACAAACCTCTGATAGGACTTCAGTGAACTTCAGAGTTTCATAGAATAGTTTGAGAAGAACTGGATTAGAGTTTTGAATTATCTTTGGATGCAAAGCACACCATTCAAGTAACAAATGTTCTTGGTGTTTTTTTCTCTCTCTGCTTGAGCTACAGTTTTTCCCATCATTGCTGAGTCAAACGGTGTACACTTGCTTTTGCTCCTGTTTCACAAGGTCATGGTTCAACACGCAAGAATTCAAGGCCCAGCTCTGTGATGTCTTCTGCGAGTGGCTGGGAGGTGAGAGGCCCCTTTCTTCCTGCTCCAGAAGTAGATTCTTGGAGCAGGGTTGGGTTGGCGTTTCATGTTTTACACAATGAAACCGTGTGGGAGGGGTAGAACAACGTTTGAGTCAAGTGGCACCTTTAAGACCAACAAAGTTTTATTCAAGGTATGAGCTTTCATATCACCACCAGTTAACACTTTGCTGTCTTATGGTTGTTCCCATCCCACTGTGAGCCATGTTGAGGTTTAAAAAAAAAAGGTATGGCTTCCTAACCTTTTCAGAGAGGCTTTCATTATAGAGTTAGATCCAAAGTACAGCTTGTTATGGCAGCTTTAAGGTTGTATTGCTTGAACAGCTGCTCTCTGTGCCATGTTGCAAACTGTTTTTGGAAACTGAGGGGGCTTTCCAAAGCAGTTTGAAACATGGCATAGAGTTCCACACAAAAAAAAAGAGGTTAAGAAATCCCACTGGGAAATGACTAATTCCCTCCTACAGCATGCTTAAATCTGTCACGCTTTTATTCCACCCTTGCCCCCAGGAGTTCATGGCATATACATTTTTCTGTCCTCCTCCCTTTTACCCTTGGAACAATCCTGTGAGATAGGTCAGAGCATGACTGTCTTCATAGCTGCCTGGAGCTGTCTCTCTCTGTGCTGTACTGACTCTCTCTACTAAATGGAGCCCATTTTCTGTGCTGTACTGACTCTCCGGAGCTTAGTCATACCCTTTATATGCTGTTCCATGTCCAGTTTACCTTTGAGGTTTCACTCATGCTTCATTTTGCTATTTCCTGGCATCTGCATTCTGACATTTTAAGGGAGATAATGCCACTGAGTCTTCTCACTTGAGAGAACTGATAGTGTGATTATCAAATTTCCCCCAGTTCCTTCTTCCCAAGGGGCAGAATCACACCTCAATTTTTCTGTCCACCGAATTAAAAGTTTTTTTCCTTCTATACTACCTCCCCATCTGTGATTGTAATGAGGCAGACACGGGTCTTCCAGGTTACCTGTAAGTGTACACATAGAAAATGTCATGTCCGGCTCTAATTTTTTCACCAGTTCTCTGCTACCTCTCTTTTAAAATCCTTTTTCTGACATTAAAACAAAATGACCCATAGCCTTGTCCAGTAAGTTAAGAATTAGGTTGATGACAATCCTGCACCGGATCTTTCTCACTGCCTTTGCTTCTATCAACTTTTTTCCCCTCCCAACAGGTACACTTCATGCTCCTGGGGATTACAATCGATGGGATTATTCCCAGCTGGAACCAGAGCGATCCAGGAGAGAAGACATGTTCTCAGGAAAGAGCAAATTAGGGTCTGGTAAGAGTCCTGACGAAACTGACCTCTGTCCCAGCAGTGCTGGGCAAAGCGGGCATCTGCTGTGTAAAATGAAATGCCCCTTCTATTGTTACTAGGGCAAAAAAAGAAAGGAAAACCTCCAAATTATGGTACTGTGGAACAGCTTCATTTATTAAGGCCTTTAAGAACATCACGTGTTAGGATGCAATGTTTGCATTTGGTGTTTAAGTTTCCTTTGACAATTAAATATTACCATGTATGATTAAGGAAAACCAAGAATGAATTGTGTGGCTCCTTAAGGGCTAAGATTTATTGAACCATAAGCTTTTTCTGTTAGAGCCCCCTTTGCCGGATCATGTGTCCGAGGTGGACTTCAGCCCTCAAAAATTATCTCAGGCCCCTGCCATACGGCAGGGAAACCACGAAGCAAAAGTGCGGCTAATAGAGCCGCTCCAACGTTGAGACGCTGCGGTGGGATCCCACGGATCCCCTGGCCGCAGCGCCTCTTCTCCCCGGCAAGAGCAGACGCCGGGGAGGACGAGCCCGATGGGAGGGGGAGGCTGCCGAACTGCGCATGCCCGAGCATGCGCAGTACGGCCGGGGGCTGGGATGCGGCGGCGCAAGGACGCGCCGCCGATCCCACGGCCGGCTTGGGGCGCTCCAGACGGCTGCAACCACCTAGATAGGTGGTTCGTTGTTGCAGCGGGGTAGCGCCATTTGGGCCGGATCAGGGACGGAGACGGCACGCTCCCCAGATGTTGCGGTGGGATCGCGTCCGTTTGCTCCGCCCCTGTTCCGTCCCACTCCCGTCCCAAATGGGCTCGTATGAATGGGGCCTTTGTATATCTGTTTGCCACAAGACTCTTTTTGATTTTGTCAAACGTGACATCTCCTCTGGAATGTGAAATTAAGGTAGTAGTTTTGCAATATAAGAGGGTCTGCAGTTATAAGTGTCCGCAGATGGTCTTTACTTATCTATCTCACAACTGTTTTGGATCTGCTCACACAGGAGCCTCTCAAATAATTGCTTTCACTGGTATTGGAAGGAGGAGTGATTGTAGGCTAACATTTCAGAGGAAGAATCTTCCTAATATCATAAAGATAATAAAGAATCCAATTTAACACAAAATATAAAATGAATGTGCTGTGCAGAGACTGCACTATGTCCCAGGCAGGGTTCCCTCTAAGCTGAGTTAGTGTGAGCTAGCTCACAGTTTTTTAGCCTCCGGCTCACACATTTTTGTCTTAGCTTAGGAAGGATGGCTCCCGAGCAAACTAATTTATGCAGTAGCCAAATCACTCACAACTTTAATGCCAGTAGCTCACAAAGTAGAATTTTTGCTCACAGAACTCCACAGCTTAGAGGGAGCATTGGTCCCAGGTAAACTATCCCACGAAGGAGAAATTGTGAATAGTATTATTGATTTCTGTCAGATGATGAAGATCCCTTTAGTGCTTCCAGGACCTCTGGCAGTTCAAAAAGCTCTTCCAAGTCTTCTCGAACCCGAAAGGTAAAAAATTCTTTCATTTGCATGCATTAGTTCAGGATGGAAAGATGATCATTAATCCCTGATCTTTGAGAATATAGTGCCACGGTGTTCCTTGTTGCATAATCCTGGTGCATCTGTTAAAATACTATATACCCATTATTGTAAGGCTCTGCATTACTACACTTATTACTCATTTTCAAAGACCTCAGGCACGATGTGTCTTGTCTTCTCCTTTCTGCTTAAGGCATACTGTAATATGGGTCATCAGTTCTAATATGTCCAGGAGACAGAGGTTGAAAGACGTTGCCCAAGTTTTGGGGTTTGGATTTTATACCAATTCAGTATGTAATTTTATGATTTTTTAAAATTCCATCAGTAGATTTGCTGTCTTCATGAAGGGCAAGTTACAGGTGATGCTGGGAGTTCAATTAATGGTGCCCCATTTTGGGTTTTTTCCATACGGCAGCCATGCACTGCCCCAATTCAGACTGAAGGGAAATTAACTCTGTTACCTGCAACATTTCCCCAACTAAAAACAGCCTCACAGAACTGTTTTCTTGCCCAGTTGAAGCCAATATAAGGCACTTTTCATATGCATTGCCTCTTTCTTTGCCCCTACCAGGTGAATGTTCTGTGAGCCCCAGTCAGGAAAATGGCACCAGGGGGGAGGATTAAACTCTCCCCTGTGCCATGGTCTTGATCCAGATCAGAGTTCTGTGCATTTGCTGTTTAAAAATAAAAATGCTTAGTTAAGCAGGCTCACAGTTCTCAACATCACATGCAGCTCTAAGCTGCTGCAACTAGACGTACAGCCATCTCTTGGCAGAAGGAGGAAGGAAAAGGCACAGGTGCCTTGTGCAAGTATTTTGCCTGTGAACTGGAATACAGGTAGCCCAGGGGGTTGGTAGATGCCCTGTATTATACAAGGGCCAAAGCATGGGGAGGAGGGACAACACGGGATGGGTTCTACAAGTGGCTGCTGGACTCTGCCCTCGGGGGCAAAGGGCTGGATTGTGGCTCCAGCTATCAAAACTGCCACCATCTCTGGTGATCCTTGTTGTGATTTTGTCACAGGCACCTACTGAATAACGCCAGTAGGTATTTTTTTAGTTTGGCAAAATGTAAGTACTTATCCCCTTGAGCCACTGAGTGTACAGATAGCCATTTACAAAGACAGGGAAGGCAGACATCTGCTGCCTCTGTAGTGCCCCACCATCAAATATTTTCCCTTTTTCTAATATTTTCCCCTCATGGTTTGCCTCTCCCCTTCCCAAACATGTCCAAGCATAATGTGGAATAAATTTTTTATTTCATCTCTCTTCTTGTGTCTCAGAGACCTGAGCCTTTAAGGAAGACTGTTAGCAAGCCTGCTCGAGGACTCCAGAAGTTTTCCGCCAGAAGGATAAATCAATCGTCTTCCTCAAGAGGTAGTGTACTGAAAAGCAAAGGAAATATACTTGGGCATTTCCCACAAGTTCCATTTTAAAAGCGTCATAATATTTTGTTTTCAAATGTTTGTACCAGTCATAGCATGCCACCTACATGCATATAGACGTGTTATCATACTCCATACTTCTGAAGCCACACCCTTGTGATAAGATACTATGGACCTGTCTTTGCTATTTAAAAAAATCCAAGTGCAAGGGAGAGCTTTAAGCCCTGGAGAGAGATAATGGTGTGCTTGACCAAATGATAATACAGAACATTCAGAGGATCACTTGGAGCAGAGAGCAGGGGACTGGGAGGTTAAAACGGCCCAGGAGCAAGCTTAGCTGAGCAGCCTTTGCAGCACCACAGTTCAGCAGTAGAAGGGCCATTAAGCTCTAGGGTCACCAACAGCCTGGAGGAAAAAATATACCTTTTAAATAGAGGCCTCCTGTGTGGATATGGGCAGCTGAAGCTTTTCACGGTATGAAAGTAAATACCATCCCATTAAGCCACTGTTAAAGAGATAGGACTTTTTTTCTTTGGGTAATTTACAATCCTACTCAATTTACGCTAGTAAGTTGCACTAGTAATGGCCATTGTCTCTCCTGCTGGCTCCTCCCACAGTGCCAGCTGGTGACGGTGAGGCAACAGGTGAAGTGACATCAATTGTTATTGCTGTTGAATAGTCCAAACCAAGTGGCCCCCTGTGACACTGACAGAAGTACTGGGTGCTCAACTCCATTTGGTCTTGGCTGCCAGCTCTCCAGGGCAGCTGGCCACTGTGATCTTTCCCTGTAGTTTAAATGGCCAGTCCACCCTGGCATAAGCCTTTGTTTGAGCTAGCCCACTCTGAATGCACAAGCTCTGCTACACCCAGGTCATGTACTGAAATGTACAAGCAATTTCCACAGGTACACTATTGCTCCAAACAGCCCAATGTCCTGTTCACACACTTTCTCTAGACCATTTTTGTATGGTGCTTGATGTTTAAGCAAGAATATGTGGGAGAAGATGTTGAAAGGGGTAAATCTGGACCATGTCCAACACTACTGGTAGTGGGAGAGTCCACTCTACAACTCTTTGAAAATATTCTCTGGATGTTTTACTTGGTTTCTCATAGGGTACTATGAACATTATGACAACAGAGCAGTAGCAAGAAATAAAACATAATTTACATGCTAAATCTAGAGATTCACACTGTGTCTTTATTTATTTATTAGTTATATTTATATCCCGCCCTCCCTGCAGGCGGGCTCAGGGCGGCTCACATTTGCCAGCATAATATAGCCGGTTAGCATAAAACATTTAAAACCAGTTAAAACAATCATACAATATTACTTAAAGTGCTCGCCTTGGTCGTCCATCAATGAGTTAAGGTAACATACTATGAGATGACATACTAAGATCCCGACTTAGTAGTATTCCGGTCTCCCACGACAGGGCCAGCCCCCACACAGATGTTATTGATAGTAATAGTTGGTGGTAGTGGAGGGCAGCTCCTAGTTGAAAGCCTGGTGGAAGAGCTCCGTCTTGCGGGCCCTGCGGAACTGCACAAGGTCCCGCAGGGCCCTGATCTATTCCAGGAGCTCATTCCACTAGTGAGGAGCTGCCACTGAAAAGGCCAAAGCCCTGGTAGCAGCAAGCCTGGCATCGTTAGGGCCTGGAACAATTAGTCGGTGTTGTGACCCCGACCATAGTGCTCTCCGGGGTATGTATGGGGAAAGTACCAGCACCTTGAAGCGAATTCGGTATGCTATTGGCAGCCAGTGCAGTGCCTTCAGCACCAGCCAGATGTGCTCCCATCTAGGGAGACCCATCAGAAGCGTGGCTGCGGCATTCTGCACTAGCTGCAGCTTCTGGATTTGCGACCAGGGCAGCCCCATGTAGAGAGCATTACAGTAGTCTAATCTCGAGGTGACCATCGCATGGATCACTGTAGCCAGGTCATCGTGGTTGAGGAAGGGAACCAACTGTCGAATCAGCCGAAGATGATAAAAGGCTGACTTAGCAGTGGCTGCCACCTGGGCCTCCATTGTTAAGGAGGGATCCAAGAGCACTCCCAAACTCCTTACCTCTGATGCTGGCACCAGTGGCGCCCCATCGAAGGCCGGGAGCGGGATCCCCATCCCTGAACCACCCCAACTCAGGCACAGGACCTCCATCTTCGCCGGATTTAGCTTCAGCCAGCTCAATCTAAGCCAACCAGCCACAGCCTGCAACGCCCGGTCCAGATAATCCGGGCCGGAGTCAGACCGGCCACCCAACATCAGATAGAGCTGGGTGTCATCAGCGTACTGGTGACACCCCAGCCCATATCTCCGGGCAATCTGGGCAAGGGGACACATGTAGATGTTAAATAACATTGGGGAAAGCACCACCCCCTGAGGCACACTGCACTCAAGCGGGTGTCTCCTGGACTGCTGTTCCCCTGGCATCACCCTTTGTTCCTGACCCTGGAGAAAAGAAGCAAGCCATTGCAAGGCTAGCCCCTGTATCCCCACATCAGCATTATAAAAAATGTCACACATGAAAAGACCCCTATTTGCACTTTGAATTAGTTTTTGATTTAGGGGCCGCGTGTAGACGTTCATGTTGAGGATCAAGACTGTCCCAACTTACTCAGTAGGGCTGCCAAATGCCCCCGGGGGGCGGATTTCCCCCCGCTTTCCGCTCCCACGGAATCGGGGCCCGGGAAAACCCCACCCCCGCGTGCTCGTCACCCGGAAGTGAAGTCGGACGATGGGGGCGGGGCCATGCCATTTGAGGGGAAAACTCTTTGTTTCCCCCTCAAATGGCGTGGTCCCGCCCCCAGCGTGCAACGTCACTTCCGGGTGACGCGCACATTCCAGACGCCGGCTGGGAGCCCCTCGCTCCCGGCCAAAACATATTTGGCAACCCTATTACTCAGGCCCACTGAACATCCTGCATTGGATATCACATTTGCATAGGCACATAGAGCTGAATGTGGGTAAGCCCAAACTTCCCATCTGTAGTCTCAGATTTGTAGTTTTGAGCCTGTGCAAGTTAGACTCTGCATGCATAGGCCCTATACAAACAGCATAGCCAGACTTTGGGCAAGCCAAAGGGACGAAGGGGAGAGACAAACTGGTTTGATCCGTACCCCCCGGGGTTTGCATAGAGTTATGAACTCCTTAAAATGAGATAGGTTTTGTGCTGAAAGAATAATACAGGGAGCAAGCCTAATCTATTCAGTAGTAATGCCCATTTTATTTTGCGGGTCTTAATACTAGGGAAGTAGTTTTAGGATTGCAGCCGTGGTCACTCAGCTGCAACGTATATGCAAGCATTTCTCCTTTGAATACAAGAAAAATGTATTCAAATGTTTGCGTTTCATAGTGTGCTGCCCCTAGCAGTTTAGTAAACTATATATGTAATAGCAGTTGGTAAAATTGTTGTGTATCTTTAAATATCCATGCTGGGAACTGTAGTCCCAGGTCAGGTGTTCCAAAGCAGCCTCCTTATTGGCTCATTAAGAGTCATTTCCTGTAGCTCAGAGGTGCAAAAATATGGTTTACTGTTCTTTTCTTGTCTTTGTTCTACCTCTTATTGGAAGGAGGTGCATTTTCTTTTCACCACAAGATCTACAATAATAAGCTCTGCTCGTCAAGATGAACTGTATCATTTTGCATGCTGAGGGAACTCTGAACCTTTCTGCAGTAGAATAAAAATCAGTTTTTTGTGAGATTTTCTTGGACTGACTGTGAGTTGGCACTATCTGGTAAATAAAGTTAATCTATTCTAGTCTTGAGCCTAGTATACAAAGTTTGACACATTAATGAAATGTATAATAAGTAACTAATCACTGTGGGGGCTTTCTTTTTCTTTCAGAAAGCACATATTCTGATTTGCAGTCAGAAATTCATGATGACGTGCTCAGGCAAAAGGATTTATGGAGCAAACAGCGGGGCACCCTGAAAAAGAGGCTAAAGATTGCTTACCTTCCCAGAGAGGTGTTGTGATTTAGGGAATGGGGAGATTTTCAGATATCATAATTACTAGTGGACCCAGAATTAGACAAAAATATAGTCCTTACTGTTAATATCAACACCAAGCACTAGACAAAAAGGTCTAAAGATTCTTTTCAACTTTTTCAGAATAAGCATCTTGATTTATTTATTTTTGAGAGAGACAGAGGTCACAGAAAAAACAATCCTCCCTAGGATAGTAGTGAAACAGAAATGGAACATTGTGAATGAACCAGTGAGCAATATGAGCTGCAAATTAGAGAATTTGCTGTCAGAGGATGTTGCCACAAGCATAGACAGTTTTAAAAGGGGATTAGACAGATTCATGGAGGATAGGTCTTATCAGTGGCTACTAGCCGTGGTACCTTAAGGGAACCTCCACATTCAGAGGCAGTAAACCTCTGCATACCAGTACCAGGAAGCCACATCAGGGGAAGGCCTTGGCACCTATAGCCTATTGTTGGCCCTCCATAATAACTAGTTGGCCATTGTGTGAGACAGGATGCTGGACTAGATGGACTACTGGTCTGATCCAGCAGGGCTCCTGTGTTCTTAGAGAGCAGATGCAAATTATGAGCCAGTTCACATTTGACGGTGGTCCCCATAGGAATAATTTTGGGAGTGTGCAGGATTAGAGCCAGACTGGTAGCCAGTTGTGAATCTTCAGGTGCGGGCTGCAGGAATTTGCAGAATCAGGGCTACCTCAAAACAGTACCTCTGGTTCCATGGAAATCAAAGTGGATGTCCCAAGGTGGTGGTTCACACAAGGCATCTCTGGGTCAATGTTGCCTAGTACCCAGCCATGATACACTAGCAGCCCTGCACACAATGGAAGCTTTCACAGGGTGGCTGCTGTGAAACGTAATCAAGCCCATAGCACATAAAATGATGTTACATTATTCTGCAAATGAATCATCTGTAGGAAATTAGTCAGATTAGAGATGTAACATTCTGTTTTACAGTGCTGAAATAAGATATGTTAAACAAAGTCAGTGAAATTTCAAAACTTTTAATGTAGGTTTGGAGGTCAAAATTTGAGCCCATAATACATCATTAAGGTTCATGCTTGAAATATGGCATACATATTTGACTGCTTTGGAATTCTTTATGTTCCTGATTGGTTAAATGGATTAATTATAGCAGTACAGTTTTTTTCCTTAATTCCTTTGCAGGTGAAATGCAACAGAAGAGCTACCAGGTGCTATCAAATGCTACATACCTTTAGATGTTAGATATTGACTATGACTTCGTGTCATCTGTCAGATTCTGTCAAATATTTACTGCTACTGCAGAATTGTTGGATGTCAGATGCTAATGATGCTATCGGCACACCTTGAGAACTTTTGGATAATATTTTCCATAAAAATGGGCTAAGCCTTTTAGGAGGAGAGTTACTCAAATACCTGTTATCTATGCCGCCCCTCCTCCCACCCATTTCATTGTGGTCATTTAGCACATCTTCATAAGTGCAGACTGGGAGGGAAAAAATGACCCAGGAAAAAGGGTCTCCCTCCATCCAAAGGAGAGAGGGAGGAAAAGTCTGCCCCACTAGCTCCATGCCATGCATGGCTTGGCCAGGCATCTCATTTGCTGTCTGAGGGTGAGCTAGGCTGCATGCTTCCTTCCCTCACCCAGGATGGGGGGTTGGTCAGGCCAAGTGCCTCCTTCCCCTCCATGCTTGGGGCTCGGGCAGCAGCAGCAGCTACCTCCACACAGAGTAAGAACCATACTTGCTTGGGGTCATGGTTCCCAGTGGAACTTTTCCTGGTGGCCTTGTTGGCCAGTTCATCCTTGCACATCTCCATAAGCCCTGAGATGAGCCTGCTCTGGTGTTCCTTTCCTCAGCTGTCATGATGGATGATTAGCTCCTTACAAAAACTAGTCAATTACCTTAGAACTAGTCAATGAATTACTGTGCCTTTCCTAGAGTATTGCAATCCTTATTGTGGAGCACATGAATTAATGCACATTGGTAGGTTAACAGCCACTCAAAATAAAGTAGCCATTACAGACAGCTTTATATGTATTATCAAAACCAGGGTGTGATTTAGCTCACTCAGAATACAAACTATTACATATGTAAAATGCAGTGTTCTTTGATTGGAGGCCACTGCAATTGACTGCTGCTATCCACATCTGTCTTCTAGTCACACCCAGCCTGTCGTGGTCCTGAGTTCACCTGGCATCTCTTGAATATCAACGGACGCAGCCCACTAATTCAGCACTTCCTCCAGAATCGCAATTGTGAACCAAAGGCAGGATGTGACATCTTTGTGTCTAGGAGAGAGATTTGCGGGCCTGTGCCATATCTTTACAACACCAGCTGGGGAAATGGGATGGAAAATTATTATACAATTGCATTTTGTTCACAGTGTAGGAGGACAGGATTAATTCTTTACTGTGCATGAGCTGATCAGTTTGTTGATAAATTCCTAAGACACAATGCTTGATTAATCTGTCCTTAGAAATAATTTCCATCATTAACAGTAGAAATTAAGGTGGATCAATTAACAGTAGAAATTAAGGTGTTAGTCTGTCTGTAGCAGTAGAAAAGAGCAAGAGTCCAGTAGCACCTTAAAGACTAACAAAATTTGTGGTAGGGTATTGGCTTTCGTGAGTCACTGCTCACTTCTTCAGATAACAAGTGAGCAGTGACTCATGAAAGTTCATACCCTACCACAAATGTTGTTCGTCTTTAATGTGCTACTGGAGTAGAAATGAAGTTTTGCCATGGAGCCCCTGCATAAAGTGTATGAATAGTGGCAATGAAAAATACTGGGACATCATCCTGACCTGGATAGCTCAGACAAGCCCGATTTCGAAAGCTAAGCACTGCCTGCCCCGGCTAGTATTTAGATGGGAGACATCCAAGGAATACCAGGGTCATGACACAGAAGCAGACAATGGCAAACCACTTCTGAAACATCTCTTGCCTTCAAGACCCACTAGGGGTCTCCAGAAGTCAGCTTGACTTTATGGCAAGAAAAAGAAAAAATACTGGGCTATTGTAGGTAGGTTACTTTTCAAATTGGATTTGGAGGTAGGTATCTTGGGCTCCTCTGAAGTGTGCTGAGGATTTCTCATAGAGAACATAAGAAGGAAACGTCCTTGAAAACCAGAGCTTGCTAGTGACTACAGGGACCCAGTGGGTGTATTCTAGAACAGAGGAGGCAAATTTGATGCTTTTGGGAATACTTAGTGTTTTGGAGCTACCCATCACAAAATGGCAGCTCAGTGGATGTAGCCAGTCACAGTATAGTGGGTTGTACAAAAATTAAAGTGTTTAAGAGCATGCCTGCAGTGCTTAGGTAGGGAATCTTCCTCTCCTTTTTTTCCCCCAAAGCAAACCCACCAGCAGCCCTAACTGTAGCTTGCCCTCTGTGTTTTCCCTAGAAGACATAAAAAGCAGCTTTGATGCAGGATAAACGAGTCAATACCCTGCTCCCTTCTCATACAGCACCATGCTGGGTCTTAATATTATTTTTCAATAGAATAGAATACATCTTAAGCCAACAATAGCTGTAGAATAGAAATGCTTCTTGTAGAATTTGTCATTTTACTGAGTCCTGTTTCCAGGTCATTCACAAATGGGCTTAAAAACTCTGTTTTCTGATTTTATCATTTTTATTATGCTTCATCAAATCAAAGAGTATAATTTTCCTTTACACTTAAAATCACTGCCTCTGCTGAGACATATGCAGATGTAATCAAACAAAGTTTCAGCATCCTCCGCCAGAGCCGCAAGGCTTATAGAAAGGCATATTTGAGACACTGGAGAGAAATGAAGAATTTTAACCAGCAGTGGAAGGAGAACCAAGAGCTTTTCAGGTATTTAATGGGACTGCAACTTCATTATCGCATCATGATCTCGGACAGGAAGGCAGGAATCCTTAATTATCTTTCCACGATCACTTTTCTGTACAGTGAAAGCATTTTTATCTCATTTGTTTATTCATACTGTGAACTGTCATCCTAGGCTGATAGCTCAGTTAATGCACTTGGCATTTTCACTTTTACATGGTTCTGTACTCTCATAGAATCACAGAGCTGGAAGGGGCCATACAGGGCATCTAGTCCAATTGTCCTCTCAATGCAGAATCAGCCTAGAGTATCCCTGGCAAGTGTTTGTCTAGCTGCTGCTTAAAGACTGCCAGTGAGGGGGAGCTCACCACCTCCCTAGGCAGCTGATTCCACTGCTGCACAACTCTTAGTGTAAAAAACGTTTTTCCTAATATCCAGCCAGAACCTTTCTGCCCTTAATTTAAACCCATTATTGTGAGTCCTGTCCTCTGCTTCCAACAGGAACAGCTCCTTGCCCTCTCCTGACAGCCCTTCAAATACTTAAAGAGCAATCATGTCCCCCCTCAGCCTCCTCCAGACTAAACATTCCCAAGCCCCTCAGCCTTTCCTTTTTTTTTGGTAAACACATTTTATTTTCTCAGGAATACAACATATAAAACATTTCATTCTATCAATTGTCTACCCCATTCCCAGTTCCTCCCCTCCCTCCAATGGCTTCCCACAATGCTTCCACCCCTGCTCCAAATTACTTCATATCATCAACAATATCAGTTTTTCATCATTACAATCTAAAGATAACATCGTTTGACTTAATATTGATCTAAACATATTAAGTTTTGTTTCACATCCCAGTTCTTTTCCAGATAAATTTTAAAATCATTCCATTCTCCAAAAAACTCATCGTCTTCTTTGTTATTCAGTTTTTTTGTAATCTTATCCATTTGTGCCATGAACAGAACTTTTTGTATCCATTCTTCAACCTCTGGTACCTTTTCCGTCTTCCAAAACTGAGCATAAATCATTCTCGCTGTCACTATCAGGTACCAGAGTAAAGTCTTTTTAGTCGTATTGACTTCTTCCATTTTAAGTCCCAAAAGCAGAATTTCCGGTGCTTTTTTAAAAGAACATTTCAATATTTTTTGCATTTCATTGTGGACTTTTGTCCAAAAGTCTACAGCTTTCTCACAAGTCCACCACATATGATAAAATGAGCCCTCATGCCTCTTACATTTCCAACATTTGTTTGACATATTTTGATTCATATTTGCAATCTTCTTAGGTGTCATGTACCACCTATACATCATCTTATAACAATTTTCTTTAACATTAGTACATGTCGAGATCTTAATAGAGTTTTTCCACAAATATTCCCAAGTTTCCATATCCACTTCCTTATTCATATTAATAGCCCATTTTAACATTTGTTCTTTAACAGTTTCATCTTCAGTATACCATTTTAACAACACCTTATACATTTTAGAAATATTTTTTCCTCCTCCACTCTCCCATACCTTTTCAATTTCATTTTTTTCCTCTCTAAAACCATAGTTTTTTTTGTCAGATCTAAAAAGATCATAAATCTGCATATATTTCAACCACTCATATTCATATTCAATTTCATTCTGCTTTTTCATTACCCACTCTGTTCCCTCTTTTTTAATTAAATCTCTATATGGCAACCAGTCTCTACCTCGCTGTCTTGAGTAAGATATCAACACTTCTACTGGTACAATCCACAATGGTCTTAAGTCACTCTGGTACTTCTTATATCTTGTCCATACCATATACAAAGCTTTTCTCACCAAGTGAAGTTTAAAAAAACTGTCCATTTTTATCTTGTCATACCATAAATATGCATGCCAGCCAAATCTACAATCATGCCCTTCCAACCCCAACAATCTGTCATTTTCAAGCTTCACCCATTGATCCATCCATGTTAGACAAACCGCTTCATAATATAGTCTAAGATTTGGCATTTGTAGACCTCCTCTTTCTTTGGCATCACAAAGTATTTTCATTTTGATCCTTGGTTTCTTGCCTGCCCAAACAAATTTTGACAACTCTTGTTGCCACTTGGCCAACAAATCCGTTTTATGCAGAATTGGTATTGTTTGGAACAGGAACATCAAACGTGGTAGGACATTCATTTTTATAACTGATATTCTTCCCATCAGTGATAAGTTCATTTTATCCCATTTCTTAAAATCTTGAGTCAGCTTAGTCCATAATTTCTCATAATTATTCTTATATAGGTCTATATTTTTTGCCGTTAATTCAATTCCAAGGTATTTTGTTTTTTTAACTACTTCACATTGTACCAGTTCTTGTAGTTCCACTTGTTTTTGTTTGATCATGTTTTTACATATAAGTTTTGTTTTATTCTTATTTACGTAAAAGCCGGCCAATTCTCCAAACTCCTTTATTTTTTGAAAAAGCAATGTCAATTTTTCTGTTGGGTTTTCCACCATAAACATTACATCGTCTGCAAATGCTCGATATTTGTATTGGTGTCCTTTATGTGTCAAGCCCTTTATTTCTTGATCGTACTGTATTTTTTGTAAAAGTATTTCCAATACCCAGATAAATAATAACGGTGATAACGGACAACCTTGCCTTGTTCCTTTCTGTACTTTGAAGTTATCTGTCAGTTCTTTATTCACATTTATTTTAGCTCTTTGTTCAGAATAGATAGCTTCAATACAATTTCTAAAATGTTGTCCCGCTTCAATCTTTTCCATCATCTGGTGCATAAAATTCCAATTAAGATTGTCAAAAGCTTTTTCTGCATCAACAAACAGAAAAGCTACTTCTTTTTCTGGGTGCTTTTCATAATATTCAATTGCGTCCATTACTATTCTTACATTGTCTCTAATCTGCCTTTTGGGTAAAAAGCCCGCTTGATCTTCAGAAATTACCGTTTGTAAATAGTTTTTCACCCTTTCTGCAATAATTTTTGCAAAGATTTTATAATCGTTGTTCAAAAGAGATATTGGCCTGTAGTTCTTTACATTTGTTGAATCTTGTCCTTCCTTTGGAATCAAAGAAATAATTGCTTCTTTCCATGAGTCCGGCACCTTTTTGTTTTCTCTTATTTCGTTGGTTAAAGCTTCCAGGACCGGGGAAATTTCTTCTTTCATCTTTTTGTAGAATTTCGCTGTAAATCCGTCCGGCCCAGGCGCCTTCCCCAACTTTGTCTCTTCTATTGCCTTCATCACTTCTTCTTTTTGAATTGGACCATTTAATAAATCTTTGTATTCCTTACTTATTTTTGGTAGTGGAATCTCCTTTAAATATGTTTTAATCTTCTCAAGATCAACTCTAGTTGTTTGGAATAGTTTAGCATAATACTTGAAGAAACATCTCTTTATTCCATTAGGATCAACGAACTCTTTTCCATCTTCTATTATTTTGGTTATCATTCTTCTCTCTCTTCTAGCCTTAAGTTGCCAAGCTAAGTATTTTCCCGGTTTGTTCGCCCCTTCAAAAGATTTCTGTTGTAACTTCTTTAAATTCCAATACATTTCCTGATTCCAAGTCTCATTCAGTTGTTCCTTCAGCAACTTTAATTCTTTAATAATTTGCTTTTTTCCAGGCTTCTTTTTTAATTCCTTTTCTTTCTGAGCAATTTTTTCTAACACTTCTGTTTGTTTTTGAAGTTTTTCCTTTTTTTGCTTCACGTTTTGCGAGATGAGAATTCCTCTCATCACCGCTTTATAAGCATCCCATACAATCTGTATCGGTGTTTCTTTATTTAAATTTTGTTGAAAGAATTGTTTCGTTTCTTCCTTTAACATCTCAATTACCGTTTTCTTATCCAACAAGTCTTCATTAATCCTCCACAGAAAGGGTTTTTTCCTTTCTGTGGAACTCCATACCACCGGATTGTGATCTGAATTACATCTTGGCAAAATTTCAGTCTTATGTGTTTTCATTGATAATTCTTCAGACATCCAAATCATATCAATTCTGGAAAAAGAGCAATGTCTATTGGAATAAAAAGTAAAGTCTTTCTGCATCGGGTTCCATTTCCTCCAAACATCTTCTAATTTTTCTTGCTTAACTAATTCAAAAAAATTCTTTGGCAATTTTCCGCTGAATTCGTTGTCCTTTTGTGGTTTTCTGTCTAGACGATCTATTGTCCCATTAAAGTCTCCGGCCATAATAACTTGCTCATAAGTCAATTGTTGTAATTGGTCAGTTATATCCTTAAAAAATTTTTCCTTTGCTCCATTGGGTGCGTACACGTTGATCAACAATGTTTTTTTCTGCTGAATCATTAATTCCACACCCACAGCCCCGTCTTTGGCCCTCGGCCTGCTTCTTCTGGCTTCAGCTTGAGTGTAGCCGGGGGCGGCAGGGAGGGGCAGGTCTAGGGCTCAGTGGCTCAGACTGGTGTCGTATCAGAGTCGCCCTGCCGCCTATTCCCTCCTCAAAAGCAACTGATCATTCCTTCGGATTCCCTAGGAATGGACAGAAACCTATTTTCTTCCCTTCTACCCCATCTCACCTTTGACTTACTTGTGTGTCATGGCCTGGTCGGCATTTCCTTTTCATGTTCCCACCAGTTATTAGAGAGAAGGCGCTCCACTGGGAGAGTGCGTGGGAGAGAGGAGGCGTCATTATTGCCATGATGCGCTGGGACGTCAAAGTAGCTGACGGCCCGCACCCCTCGGCTAATCCGGCAGGAATGACGGGCACAGGCCGCACTGGGATGGACAGAAGATGCCCACGAGGAGGGTTGTGTTTTTGCATCTCTCTCTCCCTTTTCTGATGGAATTGATGACTCTTCTGCTAATCTGTAGCAAATCTATTTCCACCCTCCACTCCTCGTCTTTCTCCGCATTGGTCACTGAGTGGCCAGGCAACCTTTCTACCCCAGGCCCCTTTAGGATAAAGAAGAAGAAGAAAAAGAAGAAGAGATGGGATTTATACCCCATGGCCCTTCACTACCCAAGGGAGTCTCAGAGCGGCTTACAAACTCCTTTCCCTTCCCCTCCCCACAACAGACAGACACCCTGTGAGGTAGGTGGGGCTGAGAGAGCTCTGACAGAAACTGGGGCGCAACTTCTCTATGGTAATTTCATGTAGAGTAGGTCAGATTGGTATTTTGCAGGCCCTTCCTTCCGCATAAAACTCACTTCCGGTCCGGCACCTTTAAAAGTTCCACTGTCTTCCTTTCGCTAATGCCCGTCTAGGAATTCAACTTCCTGGATGTTTCACACGGACCTCTTTCTTTGTGACACCAGCCTGCTCTTCCCACGCTATTGTTCGTGAGTTTCGATTTTACAGTTGCGCACACGGCTCCATCTTCACCACAGGAATGTTAAACAATAAGCGTTTTTACAGTTTTTAAAGGCTTCAATCAACTTTTTTCTCTCCGGAATCGGATTTCTGGGATTTACTATTCATTTTCCGCTCAACCGCTTAATTCAAATTGACTCCAAACTCAGTTCAGGTAAGCGGCACGTTTTTGTTATCTAGCACGTTCAAAACGGGTTTCGCATTGTTTCTTTTAACTCACAGTTGTTGTCCTTCTTCAAAGAGGTCGGCTGACGAAGAATTTATGCCGGTAATCCGGCTCGATCGGCCACTATAGAGTTGCTTGGCACTTGCCTTCTTCGTGGGAGGAGGTCAAAGCCCAATTCAGCTTCTTCCGAAGCTGGATTACGCCAACCTCACACTCCCTCTAGGGCGCTGCTGCCTGCTTGTCCCCCCCCCCTCGCGCCCCTCAGCCTTTCCTCATAGGGCTTGGTCTCCAGGCCCCTGATCATCGATGTCACTCTCCTCTGCACCTGCTCCATTCTGTCCACATCCTTTTTGAAGTGAGGCCTCCAGACCTGCACACAATACTCCAGGTGTTTGTAATGGTCAACAATTAAACAAGTGACTGCACACAGGCCATATGTTTCCCTCAGTGTTGCACTTGTGTGGATTTGGCAGTTTCCCCATAGTTAAAAGTGCAGTATTTTTTAACCTGGGAAAAAATGGCATACTTCCCCCAGATATCACATACCCTGCTGTTGTTGTTGCTCTTTGAAATATATTTATATAAGTGGCATAGGCTTTTGTGATATCAAAACATTATGGGCTATTTTAATGTATTTTCTTTAAGTGTTTTGAAGTTGTGTACTTTCCTTTTCCAGTGCTTGACCACTCACCTAGCTAGACTTCTTTTGGCAGCAGCAAGAACAACTTTCAGCAACTTGTCTTTTCCCCATCCATTACATGTGGATAAATTATCAAGTTATTGTCATTTTTAAAAGCTCTTACAGTATTGCACACATTGCCAGTGTGTTTCTCCAGGCTGTTGCCAGTCCTATACAGAACTAAAGCTTTCTGTAATATAACCACTTATTTGGGTTTTTCTTTAGCTTGTTTTATGTAATAAATAAATCCTCTTTAAAAAACTTTCCCTTTAAACAGTTCAGATTTATTCTTAATCCCATAATTTCACTTTTCTCCTTGTCATTGTACTCCACAGACAGGAGGAACAAGAAGAGATTAAGAAAAAAAACGCAGAAAAGAAGAAAGAATTGCTTTCTCTTCGCCCAGATGCACTGGATGCTTCACGCAAGATTTCAAACTTGTTACCAAAAATCTGCATCCAGGAACCTGATTTAACATGAGTCCATTGTAACAATTCAGAGAGATCTTTTCTTGTAGCTGAATGGGTATAAAAATACACTTTTCAGATTAAGTACAAATCAGGTATATTTGGTGTCAGCAGTTATAATGATCATTCCTTTCTCTGCTTTATAGAGGAGATACTGGAAGAAAAAAATAGATTTTGTACAAAGAGATGCAAATACATTACTAATTACAAACACTTCCAATTAAAAATCAAGGAGGCCTATGTTAAAGAACGACCTTGAACTGAAGTTACTACTAGTATGGTATACACAGCATACAGAACTGTGTGTCTTCAATGAAAGTATATATTTCAGCTTACATCTTTTATTTTTCCTTGTTTTCCCGTTCTTTCTTGTAAGAAAAATTCAGATAGTAAAATTTACCTAACTTCAAGTATTGCAAGGTACAGCTTTTCTAAAAGCTAAAAATGTTAGTTTAAAACATTTTTAAAACTCTACCATTTTGTATTTAATACTGAAATTACCTTATGTCCACAGCATCTGTATTAAACAAACTGAGGCTATTACATTATTACAGTAATAAATGGCAATTGTGATCACATGTTTCATGAAACATGGATATCTAGAAGACGAAGACCTAGATTTCAGTCTAGTACCACCTTAGAGTTACTGCATTTTCAGGGTATATATTTTTGAATCAAAGCATCTAGTATACTATATTTGGCTGGGTCTAAATTTGAGTTTTTCAGATAGCAACCCCTCTGACACAGACCAACTTTTCTTATGTCTGAATTAGAAAAGGCGATTGTGGTCAAGGTGATCCTGACAATTAACTGTTTCTAGTACAGTTGTACTTTATCTAGCAGTGCAATCCTAAGCATATATCTACTCAGTTTGGTGTAGTGGTTAAGAGCGGCGGACTCTAATCTGGAGAATTGGGTTTGATTCCCCACTCCTCCATACGTAGCCAGCTGGGTGACCTTGGGTCAGTTGCTGTTCTCTCAAAAGCTGTTCTCTCAGAGCTCTCCCAGCCCCACCTACCTCACAGAGTGTCTGTTGTGGGGAGAGGATGGGAATGTGATTGTAAGCCTCTCTGAGTGAAGGGCAGGTTGTAAATCCAACTCTTCTTCAAATCTGGTCCCAAGGGGGAAAGTAGAGGATCTCTACAAATCAAATTCCAGATGAGCATGACACCCTGTGGAAGCTCCCTCAAAAAGCAGGGTCATTCAGTTGGTCACATGGGGCAAAAATCCCAGTGTGGAAATGGCCAGCTGACACCCCCCAAGGCTTTGTTTTTGTATAGGTGATACAGATCTTGAAAATCCACATTATGTCAGGAAGAATTCACCCAGAATAGCAGCTCCAGGAAATGAGGTGGAAGAAGTCTGAAGCACCAATACCGTTGTGGAGCAACAGCTGCTAATTTTTTTTACAATGCATTCTCTTTAAAACAATTTTCCCTTTAAATAAAACAGCCCTGTCACAAAAGGCTTGTTAAAAAAAATCAGGGCAGCATGCTTTCTGGCTAGGTAGCTTCTAGTGGCATACAGGGACATTTGCCCCCTTGCACTGAAAAAGGGAGTGGCCCTCCCACAACTGCAAGAACAACTGTCAGGCCTTTTTTGAGACAGTATATTCATAAGGAAGGTGAAGCTATACTAGTTCTGAACTTCCAACAGCTGCCTCACATGGGTAGTATATAAATGTATAACAAAACGTGTACAGTGTAGTACAAAGGCCCCCACTTGTGGTGCCCATGGGTGCGATGGTGCCCTGCTGGCAATGTTCCTGGTGCCTATCAAGTGTTTTTAGAAAGTGTGTGGGGCTCTTTCCCAAAAGGGCTTCTAAGTGACCACTGAATACCTGATTTGCTGAGTAGGTTAAAGTAACATTTTGGCCACAGCTGCCACCACAGTGTTGTATTCATTCTCTTACACTTTTCTTTCCCAGAGTACTTTTTAAAATTACTACTCTAATCTTCTGCCCTTAGGCTTTCTGTGTGTGGCTCTGCCTCCCATGGTGGCCATTTTGTGGTTGTGCCCACCACTCCATGTCAGAATTCCAAAGGTGACGGTAGGCTCAAAAAGGTTGGGGACCCCTGGTGTAGTGCATCACAATGAGATGACTCATCAGATTCTTTCTCGGGGGGGGGGGGGGGGGGGCAAAATCGACAGGGGGCTTAAATTCAGAGCTGTTCTGCATTCACAGGAGCAGCCACCAGGCTTTGCTGTTGGAATTCTGCCAAGGCACATCTAAAACTGCATCTAAGCACATATAGAAATCCTTTCCCTAACTACTGAGGGAATAACCATACCTCACCCACACAACTGACAGTGGAGGCAGAAATGTGGCCCTTTTTTAGAATTTACAACATCGTAGACACACTCCTGGGAGTAAACCCCACTGAATAAAACTTGCTTCTCCATAGACCTGCTTAGGATTGCTTCCTAAGTATTGCCCAGCCTCATAAAGAAGCTGCCTCTGGGGAGGTGAAGGGTGGTAGTAGATCATTCCTCTCATCAAGTTTGATGGACACTCACATGTAAAATGTGGCACACGTTCATTTAAAATATTCCCAAACGGAGCTCAGTCCTTTTCCTTTCTATGCCATTTACATATTTGCTCTGTTCAAAACTTGATGAGAGGCATGTGTATTTTCTAAATTTATCTGTCCAGAGTACATAATGTAAGAATTAGACTGGTTCTTCATGCAGATGAGACATGTCAAAGGTGTATTTTTGCTGGTATGGGAAGATGGAAGCCTTAAAGTATAAAATGGTCTAAACAGCCACTTGACATCATGATCTGGCCTTTGAAAATTTTGCCTTGTTTTCTGAGGTGACTTTGTTGTGACAATCAAATCAGTGGAAAACTCCATGCCTTCCTCAGCCTGAGTTATTATTTTCTCTTCCACACACCTTCCTCGGTTTACTCTTCCATGCATTCCAGATTGGCTGGGCAGGAAGGGAGCTGGCCTGAACACCACCTGTAGATCTTCGACGTGGTCTCTGTGCTTCACACCCATGGGATCTAGTGCGCACGTGCTGGATCGATCGGCATTGTAGCAAGTTCTTTAATGGATTTTCGCGCCCAGTCCCTCGGGCATGCGCAGGAACCCCACCGTGCATGCCCAGAGGGGTGGGAAAGACCTCCGAGGAGGCAGGGTTACTGTGGAGCAGAGTGGTTGAGTGCCGGAGCTTCTCCGGGACTCACCAGACTTTGGAGTCTTTTTAGGGGATTTTCTTGACATTTCTGGAATCTTCCAGATTTGACAAGTGTCCACCAGAACCTCGGGAGCAGGAACTGGGAGCAGAAGACTTAAACTGAGCCGTCTGTCTGTGGCAGCAGCCGGCATCAGGTTTCAGTTCGTCTTGAGCAAAACTCTGAAGTACCAATCATGAGAGTCCATGGCTGGAAAGCCTCACAATCCCTTTACACCTTGCCACAATCATCTTGGCGAAGACTCTGTGAGTAATCTCTTCTTCTTCTTCTTCTTACAATTGTCAAACAGTAAAAGGACACTGGATTGCCCCCATAAATCTTTCCCAGAGACAAAACTTTATGAGCAGCTCGCCAGAGTTTGGGAAACATGCATCAGAGGATTGGGGCTTAATAAATCACTGAAGTCTTCTATCTGCTACTTGGAAAGCATTTCTACAGAGATTTATGGTCAACATAAATCTGTTGGAGGTAGGGCAAAGATACAAGACTGTCTATTTTTTTTTAAAAAATGCCGATGCTGGAGAGACTCTTGAGAGTCCCTTAGACTGCAAGAAGATCAAATCAGTCAATCCTAAAAGAAATCAACCCTGACTGTTCCCTGGAAGGCCAGATAATGAAACTGAAGCTCAAATACTTTGGCCACCAAATGAGAAGGGAGCACTCACTGGAGAAGACCCTGATGCTGGGAAAGATTGAAGGTCAAAGAACACGGGGACGGCAAAGGATGAGATGGTTAGACAGTGTCATAGATGCAACGAACATGAAATTGAGTGAACTTCAGAGGACAGCAGAAGACAGGAGGGCCCCTGACGGACATTTGTAAAGCCGCTACGTGGGCCACGCCTAACACCTTTATCAGGCATTACGCCCTAGACGTCCGAAAGAACTCTAATACCAACATGGGCCGTCACATTCTATCTTCGGCTACGCAGTAAAGGACCTGCCAGCACCCTCCTCCAGGTAGGCCACTGCTTGCTAATCTCCCATGGGTGTGAAGCACAGAGACCACGTCGAAGATAAGCAGGTTGCTTACCTATAACTAGTGATCTTTGAGTGGTCATCTGTGCATTCACACCACCCGCCCTCCTTCCCCGCTGCTGTCAGCTTCTACATTTTCCATAGGGAGTTTGAAGGAACTGGCGGGATGTCCGCGCCCACCCCTCTGGGCATGCGCGGTGGGGTTCCTGCGCATGCCCGAGGGACTGGGCGTGAAAATCCGTTAAAGAGCTTGCTACAATGCCAATCGATCCAGTGCGTGCGCACTAGATCCCATGGGTGTGAATGCACAGATGACCACTCGAAGATCACCAGTTACAGGTAAGCAACCTGTTTTTACTTCTTGTCAGATGATCAGCAAGTCTGAATCAATCAGTTACAGGTAAGCAACCTGTTTTTACTTCTTGTCAGATGATCAGCAAGTCTGAATCAATCAGGAGCTCCTTTTAAGGAGCTTCCCTTTCCTCCCCCTCTGAGCCCTGAAGCTGCACCTAACATGATTTGAATCCACTAAAAAATCCATTACTATGTGCTTAGGTGGCTGGTATTTTATCAGTTGGGAGGGTGGTATGGTGCCTAAACCATGCGGGAAGCGTCGTAAATGTAGTTACGGTTGCCTGGTCTCAGACTCAGGGTCTTCTATCAGGGCCAAGCTAGATGCAATATTGGGAGTTTCGTGACTGCCACTTCAGACATATAATTGACTTTAGGGTGGTTATTATTTCCACTTTAGGTTACATTAGGCTTGTGCCCTGCTCTTCCAGGAATCATCCCTCACCGCATTTTGGACCACTATATTCTGCCTGTTCCGTCTGGCGCTAAGTCAAGAGTCAACAGCGCCTTCTGGATGTGATTCAACACACGGCCAGAGTAAAGTAGAATTAAATTATTTTTATTAAGCTCCTCCACATGCATTCAGAAGATTTCTTTACTTGCAATCGAGGCTGAATAACTGGTGCAGTTCACATCTTTGTAATCGAATTCAGTTCACTGGCTCATGCTGAAAAAGATTGCGTGCTCCCACCTCCCTTGCCGTTTAAAGAGTAGACAAAGAAACAGGAAGAAAGCTGTAAGGTCAAATCCTCGCGCCTCTGGGTGCAGGAAATGGCTGTTTAATCAGCCAGTCACACAGATGCTTTGGGATGCCTAACTAAAGACTTCAATTCCCAGGGGCAACTGCTCTTAAAGATATATGGCAGTTCTATTGAACTACAGTTAAATGCTGGCTGGGGGCAGCACACTGCCTCTGATCTGCCAGGTATCATCTCTAGTTCCCAAATCCTCTCAGGAGATCTATCATAGTGCAAATGTAGGTAAGACTAGAGTGTTTCCCATCTCTGGATGTGATTTTTCTTTGTATAGCCTTGCCCCACTCCAAAGCACATTTGTCTTGTTTTAGAAACCAAGGTGACTTTGTTTTCTCCTCAGATCTGTCATCTCTTGTGCCTCACAGGATTACCAAGGGGGGGGGGGGAGAGGCTTCTCCCTTTAATAGAGGCTTAATGTGTGGAAATGTGCAGTGTAAGCTCTTCATGGCATGGAGTTAAATTAACATTACCTGATAAATATCATCCCTTTAAGCCTCTGTTAAAACAGCAGGACTTTTTACCCCAGGCTGTGCCACAGCAGAGATACATTTGCCCACTCAACACAACCCTGACAGCAGCCCTGTGGCGGCAGCAGACCTGTTTATTTAAACCTGGGGTGACCTCCAATCCCACAGAAAGCTGCGGTGGGGCTCTAATTTTAGAATGAGGGGAATTTAACCTCCATGCCTACTGCTCACTTCCTTGTAGCCTCCCTCCCAAAAAACTTTTCTCTCAGACAGCTCTGTTCCATAGCCTAGCGGGAGTAAAAGAAATCGTGAGGAGACAAGCCACAGGCTGAGATTGTTCATCTCCCTACACATTTACCCCATTCACTTAAAAAAAATAAAAGGGGGGATACCTTCCACAATATGTAATTGAGGCTGACCTGAATATAAAGACAGGAGTCTAGGACGCCTTGTCGTTTGAGCCTGATAAGCGCCATTAGCGATAGGAGTGTGAAAGTACCAAATAACGAAACTCTGATTCAATATGTAAATGTTGTAATGAGCAGCTTTTTTCTTGCAACAGGTTGTATCATCCTTTATAGTTTGAATCTGATAAAAGAGGCATTAGCCAGAGAGTGAAATTAAGCACGCGCTATTGATAGCTCTCCCATCTGTCACTATATTTTGAAACACAATGAGTGCAAATTAGTAGATTTCCTCTTCCTCACAGTGATATCACTTGTCGCTTCAATGGCATCTCACTGAGTTGAAACTGAGTGATGGAGTGGCAGGCGTCATTCTTTTCCTGCCGTTGCAAGCATTCTCCATTTTTGGCACGAGGGAAGAACATTTATGGAAAGTCAAATCATGCATTAATTCTAAAGTAGTAAAATCCATGCATGGGGACCTTATAATCTCTACTTCGTGTGGGAAATTTTGAAATCACCAAATCATAAAAGGATTTAAGAAAAAAATCACAACACAGGGATTCTGATGTGTGAACTTCATTAGACAATGCCTTCCATGTAGCAAGCACAGAATAGCCCTGTTCACATGTTACAGTGAATGCATGTACAACCTGTATTGTAATAAAGAGGCAATTCACATTCACTTTACAAATGAAACTAGACACCGGTTTCTGGGTAAATGTGGGCTTTCAATCACAGGTTCAGCTGTATATGCATTGAATGTAACATAAGAAATATATAAAGAAAATCAAGTGTACACTGTACACAGAATGTATGTGTATTCACTGTAACTTGTGAACAGGGCTACTATGCTTGTAGTATCAGAGGCTCAAATGCTCGACAGTGGGTGGATGTTTGCTTCTCTAGGCTGAAAAAGTGAGCCAAAGCTGCTGTATAGTGATGGAAGCATTACAATAGGAAGGAACTGAAGAATTATTTTAGACATATCAAACAAAATCAGGCACAATTACTTAGCTTGCAAAAAACAATGGTATAACTAATGGATACATTTTCCTATAATAATAATCAAATGTTTTGTTTTCACATATCACAATTATTCATACATACAGTGAACCAAAAATCCAAAAACGAAAACATCCATGCAGACATCCCTCTTACATTTTAGTGTACTTTTTAAAAACTACCCTTGTTTTGAAAATAACTTCTGAAATTATACCTTTGTATATCTGTCCAAGTTTAGAAAGGCTCCATATCAGTGCAAATCCCATGACGCACCCAACCAAGTCAGTCTCTCTCTCTCTCTCTCTCTCTCTCTCTCTCTCTCTCTCTCTCTCTCTCTCTGTCATTTTAAATACCATTCAACTCAACCTGTTTCTAGAACTTACTTAAATGGGGTTATAAGGGATGAAAACTACAGTCTTATTCCAAACCTACAACAAACAACATGACTGACATGCCTGATTATTTTGTATGCTTTCACATTATCTGATTGCTTTCTGCAGGACCAATTGAAATCTGTCTCTAACAATGAAATCAATGGAAGATCAGGTGGTACAGGAAGAGCCAGGGTACCAAGATGATGAGGTAAGGATGCCAAGTTAATTTATCAGTAGTTCTTAACCTCTTAAGCAACATTTATAGATAACATTCAAAACTGTTTTAAACCATTCTAGAATAACAGATTAACTTTTTGCTTAAAATAAAACATGGGTGGCTATATACCAAATAACCATAATTTTGTTTTTTCCCCATTTAGGAATCCTTTTTCCAGGACATTGATCTGTTACAGAAGCATGGGATTGTAAGCATATTTTTATACATTTAGCACACATGCACACGGTGGAAAACATTGCTTGTTGTGTTGCACATGACCTGACTGTCCCTACAGATCCTCCTTCCACTAATTCAAGGATTGTTCAGTTGTGTTTACGGGTTTGTGTTTATGGGTTTATGTGCCTGCCATTTTACCCCCTGCGTGGCTTACACTATTTTCACACTTTCATTCCTGGCTGACACTGCCAATCCTTCCCAACTTCCCCCATCCTTATTCTTCTCTGCTGGAGTGCTGACCACTGTAATATACCATTTTAAGATGTTTACAGTCATCAAGATGATAGTACGTGTAGACCAATATCAGCTTTCTATTGGTTGTGTAAATACCTTAATTTTGATACTCCTGTAAATCAGTGAGGCCAAAACACCATACTCATCAACTGATTACCCCCGTCCCTCCCATCCCTTTCTCTAATTACTAAATTTTTATCATGTTTATAACAAAGTATTAAAATAGGGTTGCCAAATCGGTTCGACTCACCGGCGGGGGAGGCTCCTTCCCGTCCGGGAGTCGTTGCAGAGCGTGTGCGCGCGCGCGCAAAGCGCGCACGCGCCGCCGGGACGTCACCGGAAGTGACGTCACACGCTGGGCGGGGCCACACCATTTGAGGGGAAAACAAAGAGTTTTCCCCTCAAATGGCTGCCATTTGAGGGGAAAACTCTTTGTTTTTCCCTCAAAT